GTATCTATGTATTTGTTTGCATTTTGCTAGCTTATCAGTTGCAGTCCAACCAATCACAGGTGACTGTTTAGCTGTTTTTCACTGATGCGTACTATCTCAGCACATGATGTTGCTCTTATAATGACTGTCATCTATTTGCGATAGCTCAACAATTTGTACGGTACATGTCGATTCATACACATTTCTTCTTTCTAGGATCGGAAACTTGAAAGGAGGCTATGATTCGTGTTCAGCAGCAAGCACTGTGAGTGACTGCTAAAAGTGGCGATCTCATGGTTGTGGCTAATCTGAGAAGGATTTAGGTTTACTCTGGGCGTTCGGAGTATGTCCTTGTCGCATACAGCTTCTAAGGAAGTGGATCTGAACGATCCGAAACAGCTAGCTTTGCACAAGTTGTATCGTCCAGAAAGAGTGACACCACGGGAGAAGGGTTACGATCTTCTCAAGAACCCTCGGTTGAACAAGGTGAGCAGCTCATATACCGTACGTTCGCAGTGTCAAAAATCCGAAGTTTTGTTTTTAGGGTATGGCTTTCTCACTCTACGAACGTCACTACCTGGGTATTCACGGTCTGCTACCACCAGCTTTTATGACTGAAGAACAGCAAGCGTATAGAGTTATGAAGAAACTACGAGAGCAACCAGATGACCTGGCTAGGTCGGACAACTCTTTCAAGAAAAATGTCAAAAGTCTAACTGATTGACATTAATTTCAGATATGTGCAGCTGGATGAACTACAGGATCGCACTGAAAAACTCTTCTACCGAGTGCTCTGCGATAATATCAAAGAGCTGATGCCTATAGTCTACACTCCTACAGTGGGCTTGGCTTGCCAAAAGTTTGGCGCAATTTATCGCCATCCAAAGTGAGACAAAACGAAGTTGTTTTAGTTAGATAATTTTTCTCCAATGGTCAAGTTGATTCAGAGGTCTCTACATAACAATTAACGACAACAGCATAAGCAAAATTCATCAAATTCTTTGTAATTGGCCATATTCATCTGTCCAGGTAAGCAATTTGACTGAAAAAGGAATTCTTTATAATGAGGAGGAGCATCCAACCTGATTTGCATTGTTTGAATGTTATGGTTTAGGCCATAGTCGTGACCGATGGAGAAAGAATTCTTGGTCTTGGAGATCTCGGAGCTTATGGAATGGGTATCCCGGTTGGAAAACTTGCTCTGTACGTAGCACTAGGGGGAATTCAGCCTCAGTGGTGCCTTCCTGTAGTTATAGACGTTGGCA